TCGTCCAACCGGTTAGGTGGATCTCGAAGGTAGCGAGCCCACCGTTTTCTCAGGGACGCCGCGAAAAGTCGTTCCAGACTTCCGGCTCCCTTTTTCCACGATGAATCACCTCTCCCTCCCCCCCGCCGGCGGTCTCGATACCGAATCGTACGCGGCTGCATCTATATGCAGCGAAGTCAGTCGGCTACCTGTTCCTTCTTTCTCGTTCTCCGTCGACCGTTTTCCGCGATGATTAATACGTGCATATGCATACGCGCCGGCAGAGATTGCAGTACGCGGCCGTGGTGCTGCACCGTACGTGGCGAAACGCGTGTACGAAAGAAGGAAGGACAAACGAGCCGGCGGAGAGGTTAGGTGGAGTAGAGAACGCCTATTCCGTCGTGGCAGAGAAATAAAGAAGGAACGAGAGGCGAGCAAAAGAAGCAGCTAAGCGATAGTTTCGATAGAGGGACGAGGAAGGAGTCGTTCGCTCGCGAACGAGCCAGAGAGAGTCTGAGCGTACGAAGCGCGACGACGGAGACACGGCGCGAGAGTGGGAGGAGGAGGACGAATGAGGAGCACGGGCGCGAGCGAGACGCGACTAGCGACCAGGAGAGCAGCGCGGAGGAGCGAGAGGCGAGAGAAGGTGGAGGTATGCTGCGCAGCCGTGGGAACCGACTCCCGAGCGAGCCAGCCTATCTCCGTCTCGCGGACGGAACGAGCCTCTCTCTGTTCTCTTCCTTTTCATCATCCAGGTTCCTCCTCCGGTGTCTCTCTTTCACAGCCATTTCTCCTCTCCGTCCCACCGACCTCCCGTTTCTGTCTCACTCTCGTTACCTTACGGTGCGTTTTTTCTCCCATCTTTTTCCTTCCTATTCCCTCCTCGCAATCGCTGGTGTGTGTGTGTGTGTTCGCTGTTGAAAACGCACCGGTCCTACCGTCTCTCTCCGCATCGCGCGTAGCACCGTCGCTCTCACCCGGTTCCACCCGTCCGTCTCGTCGCTCTCCTCTCGTTTCAGCCGTGGCTGAACTGCTAACCGGCCACCGAACACACCCAACACATTGTTCTACGGATGCCTACGCGGGGCTTTTTCAGCTTTTTGTCGGCTTAATTCCGATCCCCGTAATAAATTAGCGGGCGATCACGGTGGCATTTGTCTCCTCGACAATTTATTTCCTTCTCTCCCTCGCTCTGGCCCCCGGAGCCCCGGGACCGTTTTCGTTCGTTCCATTCTGGCCCGCGCGCCTCGCTCTCGTCCTTGCCGCGAGAGAAAAGGGCGGTCTGCTTCTTTGGTCTTTCTTTCTCGTTTCAACCTTACACCTTCCGCCTCTTCGCGTTTTTCTGTCTTGTTTTGCCTCCTCTTTTTCCACCCTTCGCCTCTCGGTCGAACGATGGCCCCCCTCCCCCCTTCTGCCTTCTCTATCTTGCGGCCTCAGAATCTCGGGACCCGGAGAACCGCGGAATCTCGCTGGAACTTTCTAACGTGTACACGCATGTGACATACCTGGCGACGACCGTGCTCCTCCTCCTCCTCCTTTTGCCTCCTCCCGTTTCGTTCTTTTCGACGAGACAAATTGCCCTGCGCTTGGCCGGTTCCACGGGATACATCGAGAAGAGAAAAATCGTCTCGTTTTTTTTTCTTTTTTTTTCCGTCTCTGTCAGCGCGGTTCGTGCGCTCCGAGACCACGAAATTGTTTGCCTATGATCTTCAGTTCCCATCTGCCGCGAACATCGTCCAAACAGCGACGATGCAATTTATTAGCGGCGTCGCTCGCCGCACGAATTTTTGCAGAACCCGGGACCCACCGCCTTATACCCGACTTTCACCAAATTGGTGTAAATTGCTATACAATCTCAATATTTCCGAGGGTAGCCCTGAACCACTAATTTGATATATTTATAAAATTTCATTTTTCAACACCTTTGCAGTTTTCGACACGAATAACCGTAGAAGCACGTTATTTTAAACGTAACGTTATTAAAGAAAATTGAATAGAAACAGCGTTGATTCATAAACGCGCGAATAACCATGAGATAATTCCTCGCGCGAGAGAGGAATAGGGATTCGATCGGTCGAGAGAGCCCCCGGCACGGATTGCCTCCGATTCCATCTACCCAATCGACTATTTATGAGAATTAAAAGCGTTCGCGATCCCTCGGGTCGGATATAACGACTCGCGTTTAATTATCTCCGCTGCATCTATCGCGCCAAGGCTCATGACACAATCCATTAGTAATTATTTCCGCGAGTGTATCGCGCGCCGCGTTATCCGCGCTTATTATGCGCCGGCCGTTAATCGTGTCCCGTGAATCTTCCGAAAACTGGGTTAAGCTGTCTGTACGGGGGGAGGGGGGGAACGGGTGACAGGATCGACCACTCGCGTCGCGGTCGGCGCGTCACGAGCGCGTGAAACGGATTTCTCACGCGAGTCGTTCGCCGACGACCGGGTCGAGAGCCATCGGGGCGATCTTTTTTAATAACGCGATTGTTTCCCAGCGGGCACGTCCGCGCTCGAGCGCTCGTTTACGCGAACAGGAACGACGCACGATGATAGGGAGGCCGGATATAAACATTTATTATTCACGGTGCGGCAACGACTAACGAGGTCGTGTGTAATACCAGCCGCTCCTCTCTCTCTCTCTGTGTCAGGTACACGGGTTTACCGCGTGTGCGTGCGTGTGACGTTAATAATTAAACGTCGCATTATCACTGCACGCACACGTAACCGCGGAACGGCGTGTACGGCACGTACTTATTACACAATAATATGCCGCGGCGTGCGCGCGCGATGCGTGTGTCGCCGCGACGTGGGCCGAGGGCCGCCCGCTCGCGGGGAGTATCGTTGCTGGATTTATGGTCGTGCGAGCGATTCGACGCCCACGCCGCCTAGGGGGGCCCCTCTCGCTGCTGGATTTCCACGTAGACGCGCGAACGGGCGGAATCGATGCCAGTTCGGTTTTCATTTTTCTCGGAATAGCAGCGGCTCCGGCAGGGCCTACGTCGCGTCGTCCATTGTTGAGTAATCCGTTTCGCCGACGTCACGGACGACACCACCGCCATCTTGGTGCATTTCGACTCCGCGTGTCCCGTCACGATTCTCGAACCGAGCTATTTTTAGCGTTTCGAAACCTGATACGTTTTTTTTTCGCCGTCTACCGGATTATCGTGTTGGTGGTAATTTCTGACCCTGATCGGAATGAGATACACAATCGACCGTTAGGATCAACTCGCTCGGTTTGGCGATACAACTTTTTTCCGCGTACTCCACGGTCGATTAGTTTCCAAATTTCGACGTCGATCGGTCAATCAGGGGAGCGTTTTCTTAATCCATGGTAGTAATGGTCGTCGAGCGGGGAATTAATAGATCGTTGCGTGCAACAAGACAGCCGTAATTTCTGTTACACAATAGTCGGTCGCGCGTGCGGCCCGTTCTGCATAGGCATATCCATAATGGATTATACAAACAGTATAACAGGTTTCTCCCGGCAACGACACCGTCGACATTCCCACCGTTTAACCCTTCGAGGACGGAACGATTCGAAACCGAGCGTTTCAAAATTGAATACTCGTACTTTTGAAAAATAGCTCGCAGTTGAATCGTACGTTGAAGGGTTGCACGGTGAATCGATCATTTTATTCCCTCGTCGCGATTAACCATCCGCTTGTCGGGGCTGTCGAGCACGTGCCCCGCGGGCGATTTATATCCGGTGGTCGTTGCATAAAAGTCACCCCAACCCTCGGTACGGTTGAAGGGAGGGGGGACAGCCCTTGTCTCGATTGGTTTCCACGCCAATTCCAGCGGGGCTAACTCGACGGGCGAGAAGAGGGTTGGTCGCCTCCATTCGTTCCGGTTCGCGCGCTCCATCTATCCCCGCAACACGTGACCCCGTCCCGCGTTCCGGCGACTTTTTAACCACGCTTCGCCTCGACCGGAGGAGAGGAAGGGCACCCTTCTAACACGAGGCAGGTGCGTGCGTGACGCGCCAGCTTCGCCTCGGAACGTTTAATTTATTGTTAATTGCGATACGCGACTGGGCACGTGTGCAGCTGCCGCGTTTTTCGCGCCGAAACCTACGGACACTTTGTCGCCGTTCGCGCGCGTGCGCGTGCCCGGGCCCGGCGTCCAACATCGAGATTCTTTTTCGTTCGCTTGTTTTCGTGTTTCTCGCGAACGTTTTACGAGCTTTTGCATGGGAATTTAACACTAGAACTACCAAACCAGTTCCATATTTGTAGTTCCTTGCATATTACACCTTTTGTACCGAAAGGTTTATTCCCGTTAATAAATAATAATAATATTCAAGTTCGACATATTTGACAATTCTAACTTGGTATTCCAGTAGAATATAATGGACGTTTAATTTTTTTTTTATAACTATAGTTACTATCAATAATAAATAGACAAAAAAAAAAGAAAAAAAAATCGTCCCTGAAAAGGTTCAGGGTCTGTCCACGCTTTGACGGCCGCTGTCACGTATACGTGACTTCGTGAGTTAGCAGACGCTGGCCACTGTCACGTGTGCACGATCTACCGTATCAGTCACCATTTCATCATACATTCAACTTATTACCTTTATTGAGGTTACATTTGTAATTCCCTTATAATAATATTCCTAGCATTTCGTGTATTTTACTTTGGTGTATAATATCAGTGGTGGCCATTAACACGTTGGCTGCCAGACCAAACCCCTCAAATTAAAATTAAAATTAAATTTTGTTTTTAGACAATTGGAAACTAGCATACCAAGAATTTGTCATGGAATTTATTTTCACAGACCCGTTAAAATTCAAGGGCCCCCACCTAGCTTTATTTTCTTTTACATCTAATTTTGAGAATTAATTTTTTTAACTCCTCGGTGAAAAGTCGTGTCACCCATATGCGGGTGACGTGGCAGTCAATGCGTTAAAGCGTCGAATGATACAAAAGCGAGAGAGAGTGTTGTGTCAGTGGGTTAATCGGACGAGATCCGTCGAGCCGATGCAATAGAAGTTCACCAAACCGTTGCGTTCTGTTCCCAGGGTACCTTCTCGCTGATAGTGGAGGCTTATCACGACGCAGACAACACGACGGACCACTCGCACGGTAAGTAACCTTTCTCCCCCACCCACTTGAAACGGTCTACGTATTAAGCCTTCCGTGGCTTCGACGTCGCGTATCAGCCGACGTGGCACGAGTGCGTTAGCACGCGCGTCCTCTAAATAAAAACAAGAGCGCGCGCAGGAAAGAGAAAAAGAGAGAAAAAAAAAACGGAGGATCATTTTAAAATTAGTCTCTCTCTCTCTCTCTCTCTACCTCTGGGCCTCTGCATGGCTCCAAGTACGGGGGAAGATTTTAGATGGTTCCCGGGGCATGTGCAGTCCAGCTGGATCTCGTGGCGGCGACGCCATGCGTCAGGTCCGAACCAGTCGAGAAGCCACTTCCGGTCTACGCGTGCACGACACTCACCAGAGACCGTAACCTCCTCCGACCTATACTCCTTTTTCCGTCCGTTCCTTCTTATGGTTTCGATAGCCTAACCCTCGGGGGCCCTCTTCCTGTGCTGCTCCGCGGACAAATATTGGCCCCCCCCCCCCACCATTTTTTTTCCCCCCGTGAACTACACGCGACTGATATCGTGGCTCTGGTTAATCTCTCGTCTTCGATGCCCTTGGCTTGGGAACATCCAGAAGCTCTGCTCGACGTTAACGTCAACTTCCGCGTGTGGAATTGTCTTTGCGCGTCCGTCGGCACTCGAGGGCTCACAGACTCCCGGAACTCGAGAACAGATTCCGTGCGGTGGCGATACTCGTCGATAGACCACGGTTGAAAGATTTGGAGGTTAGAACGTAAACGTTCAACGTTTTATGCTCGACTCGGGTTTTTCAGTCACCGTCTGCGTTTAATCTTCTAACGGAAATAAATTTAAACAATCAAGAGTTCAGAGAGAAATTAGTAGCGTTGGAATAACACGTAGAACGCGAAGGCAATATTAATTCAATAACGCCAGATATATTTTAATCTCGTTACGAGTTTCGATAGACCACGGTTGAAAGATTTGGAGGTTAGAACGTAAACGTTCAACGTTTTACGCTCAACTCGGGTTTTTCAGTCACCGTCTGCATTTAATCTTTTAACGGAAATTAAATTTAAACAATCAAGGGTTTAGAGAGAAATTAGTAGCGTTGGAATAACACGTAGAACGCGAAGGCAATATTAATTCAATAACGCTAGATATATTTTAATCTCGTTACGATTTTCTGCTAGTTAATTCTTTAAGTAAAATTCACTTCGATGCGTGGATGGTGTCAAATAACTTTCGAGGCAAGGTCGAACGAGAAACAGAGAAATACCTCCTTCGATTTGTGTTGCGTCTCACGCGGTCTATATATCCCCAGTGTCGGAACGACCGTACGAAAAGAAAACAACGAATAGCCCTCCGCTCGTGTCCAATCTCTGCCCTGTTTATTGTGTTACCCGTCCGGCGCGTTCGAGTCGCTCGCTCCTCCGCTTTCCCACCGCGATTCGCGACGCCACTGGCCGCATTCTGCGCCCGATCGTTTCAGCTGCTTCTTCTCCGCGTTCGTGATCCTCTCTTTCCTCCGTTCCTCGACCCGTTTTCACCGATGTTCCTTACTCATTACCGCAACGTGTCCACGTGCACAACAGAGCTCCCGGTGGCTCTGTTGTGTCATACCGAGCGGAGAACAAGGGACGAGATACGAGGCAACGAGAGCGAGAGAGAGGCTAGAGAACCGGGCGGAGGCACTAGTGTTTCCTTCCTGTGTAACCGTAGCACCTAGCTTCCACCAGCGCGCCACGGTAACACGAAACCTTCTGTTAGACGAGGATACGGATGTATCCCATGCACAGGGTGTCCCGCTAGAAACAGGCCGCATTAATATCAGGCGCTAAATAATACGGGCGGACCTCGACTCTCTTGCCGCGATCAAAGACATATTTCCGATTTTACATAGAAAGGCGTTGCAAAGTAACGAGAGAATACTTTTCATGATTACGAGAATAGAACTTCTCTGATGTCCAAAAAAATGTTACGGGAACATCGTTGGGCCGATGTTTTCATCTCGTGTCACGCACCACATTCCCCCGGTAATGTGGCTACGGGAAAACACGCATGCAAATAACTCTGTCGATGTTTATTGCTTCCGCATCCGGGGAAAGCTCTCAGATCGGGCCGATAAGGCCGAATTAAACCGTCGATGCACCGGTGGGACCGAAATAACGAAATTCAATTTCGGCCGCTCCTGAGAAAGATTGTAATGGGAGATTCTGGAGACCAAAATAAGACGAAAATTAAGAATATTAATTTCTTGACTGAGGCTTCGTTAACAAGTTAGTAAGTTATTAAAAAATTAAATTAAAAAATTTCAAATCATTCTGAAAAAATTATTTTCGGTTGCGGGGTGCAATTGCAATTATTTTTGGTGAATACACTTACCCCCGAAATTCTATCCCCTTTCGAGAAAAAAATTCGAGTAGGAACTGAAATTTTTAGACGAAATTAAAATATTTAAAATCATACTAAAAAAATTATATTTATTTACAGGGATCAGTTACAATCATTTTTGGTCATTACATATACCCTCAAAATCCTACGCATTTTCAAGAAAAAAATTCGAGAATATGCCTAAATTTTTCGACGAAAAAGAAATATTTCAAATCGTTCTAGAAAAATTATGTTCGTTTGGGGGGTCAATAACAATCATTTTTGGTGAACAGACATATCCTCGGAAACCTGCGCGTTTTCGAGAAAAAAATTCAGTACGGGCGGAACTTGAAATGTTAATAACTTTTTAGCGAAGCCTCCATCAACAAATTGGTATTCTTGATTTTCGTCCTATTTTGACCTCTGGAATCTCCCATTAAAATTTTTCCCAGGGGTGGCCGTACACCCTGTATATACAGTGTGTGCAGAAGCGACACGCATGAGAGCGCCGCACGGCCGCGTGTTGCTTCCGGTCTCCGGTTCATTCTAATTGCCAGGCAGACGCCAGGACCTCGGGAAAGAAATTAAGCGGTCCCGCTCTTCTTACGCCGCCCGAAGCCCGGTCTCGAGAGTGAAGCACGCGGCGCGTGCACCGCGCCGAATCGGCCGTTTCCGCGCGAACCGAGACGGACGTGCGCTACCTGCCCAACCGTACAGAAATAGTTGCCGTGATAGACTAGACGGAATTCAGCCTCGGTCGCTTTTCGATTCAAACGAATTGCACCGTTTCGAGGTTAGAATCAACATTACATTCCCGAAGGTTTAGCAATTCGTTTTCTATTTTGGATTCGCTCGGATATTTCCAGTTCCCATCTGCATCGCCCATGCGTTCGATTGCTTTTGGATTCGCTTAGATTTTTGTCAATTTTTATCTATATCGAGTGTCCCCATAGCAGTAAACTTTCAAATTTTGAGGTTAGAATTTTAACGTACGTTGCCCCATCGAGATAGACGTTGCTCTTTAAAATTTAGAGGTTAGAATTTTAGCGAATGTTGTCCCATCGAGATAGACGTTGTTCTTTCAAATTTGGAGGTTAGAATTTTAACGTACGTTCTCCCATCGAGATAGACATTGCTCTTCCAAATTTTGAGGTTAGAATTTTAACATACGTTGTCCCGTCGAAAGAGACGTTGCTCTTCGATCTACGTCCACGTAGGTCTCCAACGTCGCCGGTAGTTGGTCAATTGAATTTCTGTATGCTCGCGAAGCTCGCCACAAAGAGGCTTCTCGCGATAACAGCAAACGTTCCCGCCTCATCGAAGCCGCTAATTACATACAGGAGGGAATCAAGGCCGGGGCTTCCTTTGTTTCAAGCTCCCCGTCGGAGAACGGAATTCCTACCGTTATCCCACAGATGTACCTGTGCATCCGCGGTGAAAAGAGCTCCCATTAATATCCGCGTCTCGTCGGACGCTGTTTGGACACGTTCCGGCCTTTATCGCCGAAACACACCGGCTAGCATTGTGCCTCGGTCTATCGCGCGCCGTTCGGGCACAATATAATGCCCCCAACGGGCTGGTGAAACGAGCCCTTTATTGCTGTTCGCTGCTCGGATGCTGCTTCCTTTCTCAGGCCCGCCGCCCCGTCCTCCTTCTCTTTCGACCCCTCCCCACCCCTCCCCCCTTCCCCGTACCGGCCTCTCTTTTTCTCTCTTCTCGGCTCTCCGCTGTTTACCGCCCACCTCCGTCGATAATATGTGGCTCTCGAAAGCGGGGACTGCACCTGCGGGACGAGTTATCGGCGAATTATTCGCCGCTCGGCCCCGACGCACGGAGACAAATTTTCCCCCCGATTACGAAGATAAAGAAATTTCACGAAACTTTTTTATTGACCTGTATTCCTCCGATTCTATCGATTCGTAAACGATTGCAACTTTCACTGGGCGTGTATGCCCTTTGGAACCGATCGCGAGACCCGTGGAAACTTTACCATTGCACTCTCGCGTTGGTATTTTGCAAATGAAAGTACCAATGTTCGTTCAAGCTAAAAGTTAACCCTTCAAACCGGTGAAGGATACAAAACACTGTCACGCGAAAAAAGAACTGGCTTAAAGGGTTAATGAAACGCCATCTATAGGAAATCTGTCGAGACTTTTTTTCGTGTCCAATAATAGATTTCCGAGAATCGAAAGCGACGGTTGAATACTGTAGCACTCCGTCCGTTAAAGAAAACAAAGCTGACCTTCGAATCGTCTCTGCCGTCTGCAGTCGCCTGGGGAAACTATTGTCACCGTATTGCATGCTTCCGAGCCGTACGAATTTCGACAGTTGCATCTATTTACTTAAAACAGCGAAGACCGTCAATCCTCCGTGTAGTTCGTGTTTCATTTTATTTTAACACGGCGCTGTAATCAAATCGAGTGCCGGTCACCGGTGACCCCTACGGCAGTCAACCCGTTAACGCGTGTTAGTAGTTTGCCTGATTCTCAAATGACCCTAGGATTCACGTAACTAGCTTTACTTTCCAAATCTTGCAAGAAAATCTCGCGTTTCAGTTGTTCGGTGAACGCGATCGCCAAGTCGGTTTTCCTTTCGTTGGTAGATCTGCGTCGGCAAGCTCTCTCGTTTGCGGTAACGCGGTTCGTTAAACGAAACGCGC